TCACTGGGCACGCGGACGCTTCTTGGGCTGACGACCAGGCTACTCAGCGGTCGTCACAGGGTTACACCTTCAGCCTTGGTTCCGGCTCTGTTTCGTGGCGAGCTACCCGCTTGTCTTCTGTTCTCGGCTCCAGTTGTGAGGCTGAGATCTACGCCGGGGCTATGGCTGCTCAGGAGCTTCGCTGGCTCACCTATCTGCTGACCGACCTTGGAGAGGTGCCTCGTTCTCCTCCAGTGCTGTACGTAGACAACAAGGCCATGCTGGCCTTATGTCGAGAGCAGCGACTGGAGCACAGGACAAAGCACATTGCTCTCCGCTACTTTCTTGCTCGTGAGCTACAGCAGCGTGGACAGTTGCGACTTGCTTACGTGGCCTCTGAGGCCAACACTGCTGATGTCTTCACCAAGGCACTTACGCCTTGTGATCATCAGCGTTGCTGCACGCAGCTGGGTCTTGTGCCTGTCTTGCCTCACTTGCTCACTTCTTGACCTTGCTTGTACCTTGACCTATATATACTCTTGTTCTTGCTTGCTTGACACTTAAATATCTCTATATATGATCTTGCATGTGAACTGGCCTTGTGGCCTTTGAACTTGTGCTCGGAATGTGTGGTGACTTTGTGATCCACCCTGAGCTTTGCTTTGCTTTGCTTGACTGGTCTTGTGACCCCCTGTTCTCCCCCACTTTGCCTATCGGGGTGTGTCAGAATATTATAGCTTTCTTATTTGTGTAGGCTATAGTGGGGTATCCCATAGGGGGTACAACCCAACTAGGGTTTCCTTTTTGTACTCACTTCGTTCATAGTTCACTCATTCTCTCGTTCACTTCTTCTCATTTTCCTTACACGAGTGAAGGCACGAGCGAACATTTATATGCGAAACATGCAAACGGTAATGCGGTGCGTGCGAGCTAGCTAGTGCTACGCTGGCAGCGAGGCTCGGGCTAGTCCCGAAGCGTAGGCCGACACGGCCGGGCCAGTAGTGCGAGGTTTGGCAAAACAGTGCGCGCGAAGTTGGCGAAGCCCCGTTAGCAGTAACGGGCGAACAACGGCTGTTGCTGTACGCGATGTAGTCGGACTCCGTAAGGAATGCCGAGAAAATTCCGTACACACTGCCAACATACGTTGGCATTCCTAAAGTGGAACCAAACCCTGTACAACTAGGAACCCCTGAAGTGTTTACCCTGTATAATGTACCTCGCTGTAGTTTAGTAAACCTAAAAGATACAGACTGTATTCTCTCGGATAAAACACCCCCCGTGATTGTACACCCCCGGGTAGCTTATACGGGGTGGGTGTTATATCCAACCCCGTTAGTACTATACCCCATTTTTGGGGTGATTCTCTATAACACCCCCCTTTTTCTTATTGATTCCTATTATAGCTGTTATCGAGTCTGATTCCTTACGGGAGGATATCATGCAAATTACTCCCTAGAAGAAATTTCGCATGTAATTTCACTTAGAATTAGCCGAGATATCCCCCCTCCCACAATCTCACTGTCGCCACGCTGGTGAATCCCAAAATCTCGCAGTCGCCACGCTAGCGAATCTTCCACTGCTAGTGGTCCAAGAGGTGAAGTGGCCCAAGTGGCCCAAGTGGCCCACAATATCCTCGTACTCGGTTTTGCGGCATTGATCAACAATCTTGAAATGAAGTCAGACCCCTGATTTTGTTTCACATCTTTTCTGTTTTATAAAAAATATACCATATCATAAGACCCTGGTATTATATAAGATTTTCCTTTGAGGAGACCCCCCCCATTTTTTTCCAGTGGTTTTCACAATATCGTATGGCCCCGGATAGAAGCGCAGGCCTATGTTAAGCGCATGCGCTTGTATCTGGAGCAATGCGCTTATGGCCGATCCTCAATTATAAGCGCACCCCTTATAAAACCCTGATTTACCGTCTCCCCCCTAGGATACAAGCGCCACCCTAGGATAAGCGCCTGGCGCTTCTAATTGGCATATGGCGCTTATATCCCCTCCTCGATTATAAGCGCACCCCTTGAAAAAACTTGTTTTATTATAAGCGCACGTAAACTTTAAAATTTGAAATGTGTTCAAAAAGCTGTAACGATTTTTACTTTAGCAGGCGGATATGTTGCAGATTCGGTTCCCTTCACATTCGGACCCTGCACTGGATGCGGGTCCAGTCAGCAGGACCTGTCAGGAGCTGGATGTGAGTCAGATTGGGTGTATCTCCCAGCGCGCGCGAGAATTTCACAGACGATCCCATGTAACTTCGACTCGATTGAAAAGGCAAGCACGAGACCTACAGTTTGGTGTTAAAAGATATAAAAAATATATATGTCATTTTATAAACGCCGGCGCTTATAAATTTACTCGATTATAAGCCCACCCCCATGAAAAAACATGTTTTATCATTGCCCCCCATGGGGGTATATCCGGGGGGAGACGGAATTATAAGCGCATGTATAAACATATTTCAAAAAAACGGATTAAAACAGTAACGACTTCCCGTTTTGAAGCGAGTCCACATCCACTTCTACTCTGTTTGACTCCCTCGAGGGCGGGCTCGCTCAGGAAAAGCGCAACAGCGCGAAGTTGACCTGATAGGGGGGCTCGGGAACACCTGTTGTCTGTGCGCTGCGAGCGAGCGACTGCAGGCTATTGGTCGTACACTGGGGCAAGCCTGTGCGATGCGAACGAGCGACTGCAAGCTATTGGTTCGTACACTCTGATGGGGCGAGCATGACACATTCCTATGCGAAAGTGACGTGTCCTTGCCCTTGTTGTCAAAATTAGAAGAAAGAAAGAGGGTTGAACTAGCAGGAATGAGGATACAAATAGCAAAACCCTAGAAGGGTTGTACTCGCTATAGAGCACCCCACTACAGGCTAGAACAATAAGATAATATTCTGACACACCCCCATAGCCAAAGTGGGGTGTAATCAGCAGAGCAGGCAAAGCAAAAACAAGCTCAGGGTGGATCACAATGTCACCACACATTCTGAGCACAAGTTCAAGAAGAAATAGTTTAGAGTTTACAATTATAAGCAAAGCTAGTGGTAGTCACAACGGGCAAGTGAGGAGGAGGAGGGAGAGTGAGGGGAGAGGAGACAGGAGGCGACGGCTGAAGCTGCAGACACACGGGCAACAGGAGGCAGACTGGCACAGCGGCTACCGGACAGCGCCCGGACTACAGGGGTAACAGGCCCCGCGGCTCAAATAGCGGCGGACGGGCAACGGACCCACGGGCGGCTGGCACAGCTGGCTACGACTGGGCTACCGGGACAGCGCCCCGGACTACAGGTGCTGCTGACGACAAACTGGCAACCTCCGCTCATCCTCCCGCACACAGTCCCACCCCCCTGATACACACCCACTGCTACACCACTAGCTCTACTCCCACGCACCCCCCTAAAACCCTAAACCCAGTCTCCCACACAACCACCCCCCTCAGCGACAGCTGCAGCAGTGGGAGACGAAGGAGGAGGAGGAGAAAGGGAGGAAGGCACACCGGCCACCCCCATACCCGCCACCCCACAGCTCGCCCCTCCCGTCGTCCGTCGTGGCGACCTGAGGGGGCCGCTTGCGGCCCCCGAAGGAGCCGCGACGGGCGACGGGAAATGGTAGGGGGAGGGGGGGGGGGGGGGGGGGGGGGGGGGAGAGTGGGGCCCACGACGGACCTGAGAGGAGAGCGGGGCCGCGACAAGGGGCGGGGCCGCTTCGAAGGGACAGGGCCGCGACGCAGGGCGGGGCCGCGACGTAGGGCGGAGCCGCGACTGTAGGGCGGGGCCGCGACTGTAGGGCGGGGCCGCGACGAGGGCGGGGCCGTGTCGGTCGGGGCGGGGCCGCGACGTAGGGCAGACGCCCGCGAAGGTGGGGCGGGGGCCGCGACGGTCGGGGCAGGGCCGCTTCGAGGGGCGGGGCCGCGACGCAGGGCGGGGCCGCGACATAGGGCGGGGCCGCGTCGAGGGGCGGGGCCGCGACGAAGGGCGGGGCCGCGACGTAGGGGAGAAGCCCGACGTAGGGCGGGGCCGCGACGTAGAGCAGACGCCCGCCGCACGCCTCGGGGCGCACAGCGGGCAAAGAACCGCCGCGCGCCCTAGGGCGCACGGCGGGCAGAAAACCGCCGCGCGCCTCGGGGCGCACGGCGGGAAGGAAAAAAAAAATCGCCGCGCGCCTCGGGGCGCACGGCGGGAAGGACAGGTAGCAGCGGAAGCAAGGTGGGGACACACCCACAGGATCGATCCAAGGGGATCGACCTGCTCTGATAGCATGTTAAAATTAGAAGAAAGAAAGAGGGTTGAACTAGCAGGAATGAGGATACGAATAGCAAAACCCTAGAAGGGTTGTACTCGCTATAGAGCACCCCACTACAGGCTAGAACAATAAGATAATATTCTGACACTTGTGCGCCAGCAGAGAATCGCCCTCGCGAGATTCTGATTCAGAACGCTCCACACATTTCGATTTGAATGAAATTGCAAGACTCTAATGCACAGTTTGGTGCGTTTATAACAAATTTCTGTGTTTGTTATTATATAAGCGCATGCGCATATAATTTTGACTCATTTATAAGCGCACCCCCCAAAAAAACACAGTTTTATTATAAGCGCAGATGCGCTTCTATCCGGGGCACTACGGTACCCTAGGGTGTTTTATCCAGGAGAATACGGTATTAAAAAAATAGATAAATGGATAGGATCCCACATGCATGCCATGCAATAACACATTGGATTGCCTTTCCTGTTTCACTCTCTCTGCCTCCCATGCCACCCAGGCGTGGTAAGGTGGGTAGAAATGGAGGAGGGAACTATATGCAAGAGCACCACAATAAAAGCTCTTTATCTCACGAGTTGTTATTGTACTGTCCATTCATACCGGTAACTATACACCACCACGTGAGCACTCAGGCTGGTTGCTCTTTACTCAACCCAACTAGAGTGTCGTCCAGTCCAGAACCGACCAGTCGCCCTGTCACCTCAGAATAATATAAATCTCCAGTGATCAATACCTCCGCTGCATGCCAAGCTTCAAACAGAAGTACTAAAACTCTCCAGCTTATACCGGTGCAGTTCATGCGAGGTTCCCGCAATCTCCGCCTTCACTGCGACTGTGCTGCTAGGGCCACGCAGCAGCCTCCGCAGCACGCCCTCCTGCTCCCCGACGGTGAAAGCCACGCGAACGACGGCCCTCCGCCCCACGTCGGCGGGCACAAATACTTCCGCGGATTGAACCGCTGCCAGGGAGAGCGCAGATCCCTGGAGGGAGGAAGAGGGGGAGAGAGAGCAGGAGGGGGAGCAGGATAGGGAGGGGGAGGGAGAGCAGGAGGGGGAGCAGGAGGGGGAGGGGGAGGGGGAGCAGGAGGGTGAGCAGGATAGGGAGGGGGAGGGAGAGCAGGAGGGGGAGCAGGAGGGGGAGCGGGAGGGGGAGCAGGAGGGTGAGCAGGAGGAGGGGGAGGGAGAGCAGGAGGGGGAGCAGGAGGGGGAGGGGGAGGGGGAGCAGGAGGGTGAGCAGGAGGAGGGGGAGGGAGAGCAGGAGGGGGAGCACGAAGGGGAGGGATGGGGTGGGCACAGATGGAAAGGAGGAGACGGGGTCAGGGCTTCATCACAAGGAGCTGTCACTGCTAACGCCACCACTGCTGCCACCAGTGCTGCCCTGCCGTCACTGCTCCCATCGGTTCTGCCACCGCCGCGGCTATTGGTGCAGCCATTGCCACCACTGCTGTGGCTGTTCGAATGCATGGCAAGGTTGGAGGGTCTAAGCTTCTTGGTTCCGCCGTCCGCAGGCGGTTCTGCTACCGGCGCTGCTGGTGGGGGTCGGGATGGGGGTGGGAGTGGGTGTGGGGGCGGAATAGACGGGTTGCAAATGGGCCAGTTGATTCTAACGGGGTGATGCTGACACCAGGGATGGCTGGCCCGCGAATTGAGTTTTCCGCGACACTGGGGGCCATGAACGAACGCCCCACGCGGATGTTGACGGTTCAGGAAATGTTAACAAGGTCCTACAAGGAGTATATCTCACAACGAAGTTCGAAATAACACTGTAAATCTAGGGTGAGGCATCATGCGAAGCATGAGGATGCTACCTGGAACTAGGGTCAGTCGCAGCATGGTCGTGGGGGGCTAACAGAGGCATCGTCGTGGTGTTGCAATTGAGAGCATGCCGGCGGCGAGGACTGACGATCGGCAATATACGAGAAGAAAGGACTTGCAAATTGTGGAAATGGGAGAGGTGTGGTGGCAGCAGCTCGTGCTGCGGCAGCAGCCCGTGCTGCGGCAGCAGTGGCGGAAAACACGCCGACAACGAGAGCTCCAACTTCCAACTTCCGATTCAATCGCGGCGATTGTACCGCGCCGAACGATTTTTTTTCTTGAAAGGGAACATAGGTCAACTTTGATAAGCGAGTCGCCGTTTAGCAACGAAACAAAATTGAGCAATTGCTGCAGGAATTACCCAGGGGTGTCTTCTCCATTTACTCTCGGCTTCCGCCGCAAAAGCAAATCACTGATAACGGCCGACTCACCGTCTGCGCGTTGTACTGCTCCACCGCAATTCCCGCCGCTCTCTGCGCGAGCGCCGCATCACTGGCCGTGCCTGTCTGCGTGAGCTCCAGCTCCACCCACCCCGCCGCACTCGCCGCCGGCACGCGCGCCGCTACCGCCACAGCGACGAGGAGAAGAGCGACGGCGATTGGTAGCTTCATGATGGCGCGAAATTGAGGGATAGTAGTAGCTGCGGCGACTGGATAGCGGTCGGGATGCTTCTAATCGCCTCAACTACGGTTCTGGACTGGAATGATCGCGCGGAGCAGAACGTCTGGAGTGACGCTACTACTACACGGACTGATATGTAGAAGTGAAGTTGAACGCGACAGTTCAACTGTGGTTGAAACTGCGGGACAGTACACCCACGTATTCGTAGAAGGTTGGGAGAGATGCGTCTATCGCGTAGAATCGATTCACACGCGTGATCAGTTCAGCATTGAATTGCTAAACGTTGAAGAAAATTGGTGGCGAGCACTACAGTTACACGCATTCGCGCTTAAGACGAGGCCAAATTTATTAGTTATGATTAGGTCAGGCCGGCCTTCAGTTGCAAAAACGTATTTATAGCCACATTTTGGGAGCAAGGACGGCAATACGCAGGGAAATGTGATTCGCAGACGTTAAAAGCACCGGGAAAACGACAAGCACCTCCGACCGAAACGCGCTTGGTGAGATAAACGAATAAGTGGGTGTACGAGCACTGCCTTAGAAGCGCCATTCTGGCACCAAATTTCCCGCTCACAAGCTAACAAGGAGACCATCCCGCAGGGGAATCCCCGTGAAAACTTGCGGGAGTGTGCCTCGAGGGAGTGTGTGACTGAAACGACTGACAGTGGGTTCCTCCCAGAGGTGACGGATCCCACGCCGCGTTCTGCATGCTCCGCTCTGTCGCATCGCATCGCATCGCATCGCATCGCCGACTGCTGTCGCAGATCGATGCGACTATCACTAACCTCGACACCCCTGAACCGTTGGACAGGCCTCGGAAGTTGGAACGCCAGCAAAAGCCGGCACCACTCGTTTGTGGTGTGCGACAGCTCCCAAGCCTAAACCAACTGACTGAGCAAATGACAGGACAAACTGGTAGGCTCTCGCAACCTGAAGATTCTGTCGAGGTTGAACAGAAAAGGCAAGTTGCCGTCGATAATTATTTCTTTCTTTCTTGGGTCGGTTTGGGCAGCATATGTCCAGCGAGCTGGACTGAGGGTACGCTTAGAGTTAATTTTGGGGCCAATGATAAATGTTCAGTGGAAAGAGAACCAACGCCTAGAAGCCAGCAAACGTGGATAAACATTCGTTCAGCCATTGAATTTGATGTAAACGCGTGGGTATTCAAGCTCCTCCATTCGCTGTACGTACACCGTCCATCGCCTCACTTCATATGAACTGTACACGGGTGATGCTCAAGAAACCGTTCGCCGCCCCACTCCCATATGAACTGTACGAATGAATGCATCCATGAACCGAGTTATTTTTGTGTGAGAAGACGGCAGAACATAGTTTCTTTCGCACGGTCGCAGTACAGCGATGTTCAGTAAGCGAAACTTCAGAAATAGACCAAAACCACGATTGAGAACCTTTTCCTCTCACGACAACTGAATTGATTACAGTAGATTTCGCATCGCCTCGAGTGGTGCTAGCGACGTCTGCGAAAATTTGTGTGAGGGTAGAGTCTGGTTTCAGGTAACGTTTTGAGAGAACTAGATCGTTTTGCGGTACGTATCAAGGCTGCGCTGAGTGAGAAAGCATGTATCACGTAACGTTCTGACAGTGTCATTCCGACTTACATTGCTGGATTCCGCCCGTAATTTGCAACTGCATTCATATCAAACAAGGCTCGCCGTTGAGCGGCGTATGGGTTGCGTAGGAGCAATGTTTTCAAATAAGTGCCGCATAAAAATGCTAGCTTATGTATATGTTATATTAAGCAGTATCGCATAGGCTATATTATGCGTCACATACTTATTACAATAAACGTTTGGAAGGATAATGTAATACCAATTGATTCTATTTCTGCATCTTATTGAAACTGTCATGATTTTGTTATTAATGCCATTACATTAAGGGGATATGTAAAGACCAATAAGTATCTGTCAAGATTTATATTCATACTTATATTAGGGTATTTTGTTTTTTGTGTTATCTAGCTGTTATAACTCATTGTTCACGTGCCAGAGTTGAATTTGTCGAGTTGTATTTTTCACGTGCTCGCACGCGGGAAGTTTTCGTTTTGTTTTCCTGGTTTTTATTTTAGGCGTGATAAAGGAGTACAGATCTAGTTGCCCTCCAGAAATTTCCTGAAACTTTGAAGCATTTTGGTACATGGTTCAAGAAAACATTTCCTTCTGACCAGTTGGAGAACAGACCACCGCACAAGCGAAAATCAAGAACCCCCACCTGCTCTATGCTGCAAATCAAGAACCGAAATCCCTCGACACCTGCTAGTCAACTTTAGTCTCCATTTAGTGCTTAGTTCAGCCTCTGTCGACAGCGCCCGTGACAACCGTCGTCAAACCACGGTGAAGCGCCGCCCCGTGAGAAGCGCTTCTAATAGGCAGACTGAAAAGCGCCAACTAAAGTACCTGTGAGTTAAGAATTGTGAAAAAGAAGCGACGTGAAAAAGGTATGCAGTCAAGATAATGCGCTGGCGTCCATCACGCTGGCGCCTATCGCGCTAGCGCCACGCTAGCGTCTAGAACGGTCGCATAGGCCGCTGGCGCCCAGGTCGCTGGCGGCTTTCGCCCTGACGCCTGACGCATTGCCACGCAAGTGCTGGCGCGTAAGGCGCTGGCGCCTCAAGCAATTGCTTGGGACGCTGGCGCCTAACGCGCTGGCGACTAGCGCGCTGGTGCCTTGCGCGCTGGCGCCTGGCGCGCTTGCGCTTGCTGCGCTGGCGCCTTGCGCGCTGGCGCTTGCTGCGCTGGCACCTAACGCGCTGGCGCCAAGCGCACTGGCGCCTAACGCGCTGGCGCCTAGCGCGCGGGCGCCTAGCGCGCTGGCGCCTAGCGCGCGGGCGCCTAAGGCGATGCCGCCTAGCGCGCTGGCGCCTAGCGCGCTGGCGCCTAACGCGATGGCACCTTGCAGCGCGCCGCGCGCTGGTGGCTTGTGCGCTGCTTGTTGCGGCAGCGCACTTGCAGATTATTGCGCACGCCTTGCTGCAGTGAACTCACGCCTTGCTGCAGTGAGCTCACGCCTTGCTGCAGTGAGCTCACGCCTTGCTGCAGTGAGCTCACGCCTTGCTGCAGTGAGCTCACGCCTTGCTGCAGTGAGCTCACGCCTTGCTGCTGTGAGCTCACGCCTTGCTGCAGTGAGCTCACGCCTTGCTGCAGTGAGCTCACGCCTTGCTGCAGTGAGCTCACGCGTTGCTGCAGTGAGCTCACGCGTTGCTGCAGTGAGCTCACGCCTTGCTGCAGTGAGCGCACGCCTTGCTGCAGTGAGCTCACGCCTTGCTGCAGTGAGCTCACGCCTTGCTGTAGTGAGCTCACGCCTTGCTGCAGTGAGCTCACGCGTTGCTGCAGTGAGCTCACGCGTTGCTGCAGTGAGCTCACGCGTTGCTGCAGTTAGCTCACGCGTTGCTGCAGTGAGCTCACGCGTTGCTGCAGTGAGCTCACGCCTTGCTGCAGTGAGCTCACGCCTTGCTGCAGTGAGCTCACGCGTTGCTGCAGTGAGCTCACGCGTTGCTGCAGTTAGCTCACCCGTTGCTGCAGTGAGCTCACGCGTTGCTGCTGTGAGCTCACGCCTTGCTGCAGTGAGCTCACGCCTTGCTGCAGTGAGCTCACGCCTTGCTGCAGTGAGCTCACGCGTTGCTGCAGTGAGCTCACGCGTTGCTGCAGTGAGCTCACGCGTTGCTGCAGTGAGCTCACGCCTTGCTGCAGTGAGCTCACGCCTTGCTGCAGTGAGCTCACGCCTTGCTGCAGTGAGCTCACGCCTTGCTGCAGTGAGCTCACGCGTTGCTGCAGTGAGCTCACGCGTTGCTGCAGTGAGCTCACGCCTTGCTGCAGTGAGCTCACGCGTTGCTGCAGTGAGCTCACGCCTTGCTGCAGTTAGCTCACGCGTTGCTGCAGTGAGCTCACGCGTTGCTGCAGTGAGCTCACGCCTTGCTGCAGTGAGCTCACGCCTTGCTGCAGTGAGCTCACGCGTTGCTGCAGTGAGCTCACGCGTTGCTGCAGTTAGCTCACCCGTTGCTGCAGTGAGCTCACGCGTTGCTGCTGTGAGCTCACGCCTTGCTGCAGTGAGCTCACGCCTTGCTGCAGTGAGCTCACGCCTTGCTGCAGTGAGCTCACGCGTTGCTGCAGTGAGCTCACGCGTTGCTGCAGTGAGCTCACGCGTTGCTGCAGTGAGCTCACGCCTTGCTGCAGTGAGCTCACGCCTTGCTGCAGTGAGCTCACGCCTTGCTGCAGTGAGCTCACGCCTTGCTGCAGTGAGCTCACGCGTTGCTGCAGTGAGCTCACGCCTTGCTGCAGTGAGCTCACGCGTTGCTGCAGTGAGCTCACGCGTTGCTGCAGTGAGCTCACGCGTTGCTGCAGTGAGCTCACGCCTTGCTGCAGTGAGCTCACGCCTTGCTGCAGTGAGCTCACGCGTTGCTGCAGTGAGCTCACGCGTTGCTGCAGTGAGCTCACGCCTTGCTGCAGTGAGCTCACGCCTTGCTGCAGTGAGCTCACGCCTTGCTGCAGTGAGCTCACGCCTTGCTGCAGTGAGCTCACGCCTTGCTGCAGTGAGCTCACGCGTTGCTGCAGTGAGCTCACGCGTTGCTGCAGTGAGCTCACGCCTTGCTGCAGTGAGCTCACGCGTTGCTGCAGTGAGCTCACGCGTTGCTGCAGTGAGCTCACGCCTTGCTGCAGTGAGCTCACGCCTTGCTGCAGTGAGCTCACGCGTTGCTGCAGTGAGCTCACGCGTTGCTGCAGTGAGCTCACGCCTTGCTGCAGTGAGCTCACGCCTTGCTGCAGTGAGCTCACGCCTTGCTGCAGTGAGCTCACGCCTTGCTGCAGTGAGCTCACGCATTGCTGCAGTGAGCTCACGCGTTGCTGCAGTGAGCTCACGCGTTGCTGCAGTGAGCTCACGCCTTGCTGCAGTGAGCTCACGCGTTGCTGCAGTGAGCTCACGCGTTGCTGCAGTGAGCTCACGCGTTGCTGCAGTGAGCTCACGCGTTGCTGCAGTG